CGGCCCTGCCACCTCGCTCGGCCGTCTCCAGGCCGAAGTTGCCGCCCTCGCGCCCCAGGTACGCTCCGTGTTTTTCATTCCGCACACGCACCACCGAACGCGCAGGACCGCACACGCGAGAGAATGCTGACTGGCGGGTTCTGAAGGCGTAGAGGTGCGAGTGGAGAGCCCGGCGAGGCCAGGGCTGGCCGTGTGGGAGGGCGGATCGATTCTGGCCTCGCAGCCCAGCTTTGAGGGCGCCTGGATGACCAAGCACGACTACGACGAATATGGTAACGTGTGCACTGCTCTTTTGTACATATGCATTTGCTCCTTTGTTGCTCACTCACGTGTGTTGCGTCATGTGTGCTGTGCGGCAGGCCCGTCCCTTGTTGAGCGCCTCTGTTTCTGATGACATTAGTGGCAAGCAGCAGGACTCTGGACTTTTGTGGCGCCAGCTCGGTGTGGGTTCGATTCCCACCAGCAACGGCTTTTAGGCGCGGAAGTGAGGTCGCAGTTCAACAAAATCATAGATGGACACGTCCCTGTGGGCAAGCTTGTGGGCACCCATCTACTACGTGCTGGTCCATTGCAAGTGGCCTGTGATTATCACTTCCACATTCGCTTACTTCTACAATAGAGATGTGCCGACTACCGTCTTTTTCATTGGAGCCTTCGGATGTAATCTCGTAGGTGCGTAGATTTCTCATCTCAATTCAGGAGATTTTGAGGAGATTGATCGATCGTCTCTCCTTCCATCAGCCAAGACGTGCAAGACTCTGATCCAGCAGCCACGGCCATCCAATGCCAAAAAGCTTGATGAAGGAATGCCGTCGCGACATGCATCGACTCTCTACTACTTCGCGTCCTATTTGACAGTGTACTTCCTATCCACCTACGGCCTCGGCGATGTTTGGTTGCGAGTAGCGCTCCTTCATCTCCTTGCCTTCGGCATGATTGCGGTGCGCTACACGGAGCAGTACCATTCGATTCCGCAGCTCATCGCCGGCGCCGTTCTGGGCAGCACCTTTGGCACTGCCTGGTACCACCTCGCGACAACCTGCATCAACCCTGTCGTTCAGCAGCAGTTGTCACCATACATTTAGTTTTCAGAATCTCTGTCTCCGTCATCCTGCGTGTGCCGTGGTGTGCCGCGACGACATCGACACCGCACACGCCGGCACGCACACGTCGTGCAGGAGAGTATCTTGAACGCCCACCACAACCACAACGACACGGTGTGTGACACCGCACACAACACCGTATTAGTGCCCAATCACAAACGGCGTGGTGTAGCTTTGGCTCGGCAAGCCTTCGCGTCATTCTACAACAGCAGACACCCCACACGGCAGCAAGATGTGGAGTGCGGGTGTGGCGGCTTTGGGGGCACTGTGGTCGCTTCCTGCGCTGGGCCAGCTCCTCCTCTTGGCCGTCATCTTGTTCATCACCTGGTACTTGACGTCATTCTTATAATTCATCGTTTCCTATATTATTCGAGATCTTTCTCCTTCCGAGAGATCTGCATTTAATTGAGATTAATACCAACTTATATTATTCTATTAAATATAATAGAAATATATGTATATTTATTAACATTTTATCATGCATTATTCTATTTATTTTACAGTTTTTTTCTTCTTACGCTTGGATGCGGGCAGGTACCAGGTGGCGATGGCGCGGCAGAAGAACGTGCTGCGGAGCGTGCACAAGGACATCGTGATCATCACCCAGCCTCTGATCTGCTACTCGCCGCTCATGTTCATTCTGCCGCGCTACTGGCTGCGCTGGCTGTTCCCCTACCGCGCCCTCGACATGCACGAGGCCCTCCACGAGGTCTTCACCAGGACCGGCGCCCGCGCCGTCGGCTTCGCCTCGCCGCTCCACACCGAAGTCTACTTCAAGTACGCACACCGCACGCACCGCACACGCACACGTCGCACAATTCTGACGGCCAACGCACACAGCGATGAAGACATCATCCGCGAGTTTACGGTCAAGCAGCACGAGAAGTTCCCCAAGGCCTACAAGGACTACGAGGTGCTTCGGTTCTGGGGCGAGAGTACGTACCAATTCTCTTTTTATTTATTTTAAATTTTTATTATATCTATTTGTGTGCTCTATTATTAGGCTCACAGGCTTCTTGTGTCGCGTTCACTGGTGACTCGAACAATTACTTATTTTTAAAAATTATTATTTATATATTCGTTTTATTTAGACATCGTCACGGCTCCCTCTGAGGGTTATGAATGGAAGAAGCACAGGTACGCACGACACACACGACACACGATCTTACACACGACACGACACACGGGCACTGATGCGTCTGTGTTGGTGTTGCATGAAACAGGGCGCTCCTCACGCCAGCGTTTTCGTCGAGCAATTTGCGGCTGGTGGCCAAGGTGACTGTGGACAACACCAACACGCTGTTCGCCAAGTGGGACCAGCAGCGCAAGACCACCCAACTGGGCGAGGTGCTCGATGTCCACGTCGACGAAGACACCATGCGCGTACGAAAAGCTATTATTATTATTACTTATTATTTATTTTATTTATTCCTATTATTATTATTATTATTTACTCAGAGATTATTAACCATAAATGATGATTGTTTGGCGGTGCAGTTGATGTTGTACGTGATCGCTGGTGCGGGCTTCGGCCAGGAGTTGGGATTCGACAAGTCCGACGAGGACTACGACAAGTCCAAGTTCTCCATCTCCTTCACTGAAGCCATGTCCGTCGTCTCCAAGTACGTCGCACACACTCCACCGCACACGCTCACACCGCACACACGCACGACCGCACACATCGCACACGACACACATTGATGTGTGCGCGCGATGGTGGCGGGCAGGTACCTGCTGTTGTGGATTGCGTTCCGTCCGGTGTTCAAGCTGCCCTTCCCGGCACTGCGGAAGATCCAGCAGGGCTTTGTCGACTTCGAGGCCCACGTCAAGGACATGATCGCCAATCGGAGCGCCGAACTCACCGTACCATTCCTCTCTTGCTCCTCACACGCGTGGAACACACACGACACACACGACACACACCAAAGCACACGACACACACGACACAAACACACACGACACACACGACACACACGACACACGACATACACGACACACACACATGACGCACACCAAAGCACACGCGCTCACTTGGCGAGGTTGCAGGCGGCGTCGGCGGCGGAAAAGGAAGAAGAAAAGGAGGCGGAGAAGGAGAGCGAGGCTGATGCGGAGATCGATCCGGCAAGCCAGCGCAGCGATTTGCTGAGTCTGCTGCTCAAGTCGCGCGCCGAAGACGCACGACACAACCTCACCGACGAGGAGATCTTCTCCGACTCGTTCATCTTCCTCCTCGCCGGTATGCCAGTTTCCCCTCCAATCAACAGAACTGCTCTTTTGTGTTGGCGCTCACTCGTGTGTTTTGTGTTGCGTGTCGTGCTACTTTGCCGCCTCTTGTAGGACACGAGGTGCGTCAACGAATTGATTATTTCTATTTTATTTTTTATCCAACTGCTCTATTTTTATTGATTTTATTATTATTATTATTATTATTATAATTCTCTTTAATTCTATTTAGTCAATATTTTTGTGGGCTGACGCGTGTTTTCTTTGCTTTTCGTGCAGACCACGGCCCATTCGACCGCCTGGGCGTTCGCTCTGCTGGCCACCAACCCCAGCGAACAGGACCGCGTACGTGCGCGCGTGTCGTGTCGTGCGTGTCGTGCGGTCGTCTAACTTGGCACGTGTGCGTTGTGATGCGTTGCAGCTCCACGAGGAGGTGGTGGCGGTGCTGGGCGAGGACGGAGACCCCACTTACGATGACTTCGACCGCCTGATCTATGCCCAGTGCGTGTTCAAGGAGACCCTCCGCCTCATGCCCCCCGTGTGGGCGCTCGGCAAGTACTGCACCGAACACACCCGCCTCGTCGACCACCACGTCGCACCCAACGTAATGCCGCCGGCGCCTCTCTTTCGCTCTGCTTCGCCTTCACATGTGTTTCTCACCGTGTGTCGTGCGATGTGTGCGTTGGGTCGTGTGTGTGTGTGTGTGTGTGGTCGTGCGCGTAGATTCGAACGACGATGGCGATCTATTCGCTGCACCGCAACCCCAAGTACTGGACGGAGCCGGACAAGTTTGTGCCGTCGCGCTTCGACGCCCGCGTCAGCCCGCCGGTGTCGGCCTACTCCTACGTCCCCTTCTCGCTCGGCCGACGCAGCTGCCTCGGCAACCGCTTCGCACTCGTACGGCCGGCCTTCATACCATCGCACCGCACCACACCGCACGCGCACGACCGCACACGACACACCGCACACACCGCACACGACCTCATTGTGAATGTCTTTGTTTGGTGAATAGGTGGAGGCGACGATGTTCCTGGCCAAGGTGATGCAAAAGTACACGATCCACCTGCCGCCGGGCACGGACCTGAAGAAGCTGTTCGACGCGGAAAACGTCATCACCCTCACGCCCCGCAACGGCATGCACCTCTGGCTCAAGAAGCGAAACCCAGCACACGCCAGCTAAAACCAAAGTAGAACTCTACTTTTTTTTCATGTTTTCTTTTTACTGTACTGAACTGCACCACTACATGTACAATTGCCACTGGCTTCTACTTCTAGATGTTGGTGGTGATGGTTTGTTGGCTTCTACTTCAAGCTGACCACGTTGGTGGTGGTTTGGTGGCATGACACGTCATCAATATAAAGCCATAACTCCGGTTCGGCGGAATGGTTAGCAAAGTGGCGCCACCGTGTTTCTGATACAACTTTTCCAGCAGCAATCTTTGGAAATGAAGATCATCTCAACCTCCAGCGCCAACTACCTCATCTACCTTCTCCTCCTTTTGTTTTCGATTCACATACACACAATCAATAGCTGCCAGGAGCCAACCATGCAGACAGATGCAGAATCATCACAGAAGATGCGAGTGACGCTCATTGGCGATTCGATTCTGGACAACAAGGCCTACGTGAACCGCACGCAGCCCTCCGTTTCGCAGCTGCTACGCAAGAAGGCCGTCGACCTCAACCTCGACTGGACCGTCACCCTCTGCGCTAGTACGATTCCATCATCTCATTTATTTGTTATCTTTTTATTATTTTATAAAGAGCTATTTATTATCGAATAAACGTAAATAATCAATTAAAAAAAGTAATCAACAATTATTTATAATTTATGATTATTTTTTTTCCACAGTTGATGGCGACGTGATGGCCGGCGTGCCACGTCAGCTGCGGACGGTGCCCAACGACACGGACGTGCTGGTGCTCTCCATTGGCGGCAACGACGGCCTGCGCTACCTGCGCAAGCTGCAGTCGATCGGCATGCACAACCCGCTCAACGTCGTCTCGCTCCTGAACGAGGCGTGGACCGAGTTCTCCCAGTCCTACGGCGACACCCTCGACAAGACCATCGCGCTCGGGAAGAAGGTGAGCCGTGTGCGGCCATGTGTGTCGTCGTGCGTGTGTCGTGTTGCGTGTCGTGTGTCGTGTCGTGTCGTGTCGTGGGCGGTCTGACTCATGGATGTGGTTGGGTTTGAATAGGTGATTGTGTGCAACATCTACTACCCGTGTTTCTCCAGTTGGGTGCAGCAAAAGGTGTCCTGCGCTGGCCTCTACGTCATCAACAAAATCATCATTAGCGAAGGTAAACCGCACACACACGACCGCACACACACACCGCACACACCACGACCGCACACACACACACACACACACACCACGACCGCACACACTAATCCGAGTGTGTATGTGTCTCTGTGTGTTTGTGAATGTAGCGGCCAAGCGCGGTCTGCCGGTGATCGACCTGGCGACGGTGTTCGACCAGGAGCAGGACTACGCCAACCCGATCGAGCCGGGCGTGCCGGGCGCCGACAAGCTCACCGCCAACGTCATCAAGATCGTGCGCGAGCACCGGTGGGACGAGGGCCATCGGGTCTACGCCGAGCGGGCCTACACCATCGCCGCCGGCTCGGTCGACGAGCTGCGCGACGACGAGTGGAGCCACGAGCCGCGCGCCCATCAGCTCGGGCGGTGGTCCTGGGAGGTGGCCGAGCAGGAGGAGGCCGCGGTGGCCAAGGCGGCCGCGGAGGCCGACCGCAGCCCACTGGGCGACCTTCCCGACCTCCAAGACAACGACCGCTTCCGCACCGAACTTTAATAGAACTTATTCAAACAATAAACAACAAAATATTTAATATACAAAATATATTTATTTAAACTAAACAACATCACTGAAAAACTTGGGTGTCCCACAAGTGGGTGGCTGGAGGAGGTCGAAGGTACTTACGTCGTGCTCGCCTGGGCGTGGGTAGTGCGAGGGTGCTCTCATGCTACAGACGTTCTACGGCATCGGGGACGGGCGAATATATCTCCAACCCGTAATCGCTCGTCTCCAACCGACGGCTATCAACTGCAACAATGAACAAACCATCAGGGGACGGCTTATCCTTGAAAGACTTGGCCGTCCTTTCGGTTGTCGCAGACGCTGTCGGTAAGCCTGGCGCATAGCTCCATCACCCTTTTTGGCCTCTCACCCCAAAGGTCGCGCGTGTGCGGCGTGTGCGGCGTGCGTGTGCGGTTAGGAAGATGAGACTTTGAACAAATGAAGCACCATTCGTCTGCAACGTGGCGTGTCTTGCGGCCGACTAGTCCCTCGACGTGACCTGCGCCAACCGCCATGTTTACGTCGTCAGGCGTCGTATTTGGGCGCGAACGAAGTATCATAGTTGGCACGAACGCACCAAATGGCTCAGCTTGGTGCAGTGCCGCGCGACGTGTTCGTAGACGGCCTGCGGCACGAGGGGCAGGTCTACCAGGCGCAGCTCGGTCGCCAGAGGGCACTCGAGCGGGTCCACGCTGCGCAGCTGCGGCGCGGCTTCGATGCAGAGGGACTGCAGGCGCGGCGCCACGACGGCCACGCTGGCCAGGTCGGGGTTGTGGGTGAGCGCTAGCCGCTCCAGGCTGGGGCTGTCGACCACCACCACCTCGGCGAGCGCGGCGCAGTGGTGCGCGCCCACCTCGTCGCACGCCTGGCTGCCGGCGACCACCAGCTTCGTCACCCCGGGCACCTCCCACAACAGCAGCGTCACCAGATTCACCATTCCTGGGCACACGCGCGCGCTCATCAGTGGTGAAACGACACGACACACGACAAACGACACACACGACACACACGACACACGCACGACCGCACACGCGCACACGCGCACACGCGCACACGCGCACACGCGCACACGCATAGTTGGCATACCTTGGAGGTTGAGCGTGCCGGAGAGGTGCGGCATGTTGGCCAGGTGGACGGTGGAGAGTGCGGCGTGCTGGACGTCGTTGAGTTGGGTCACGCCCTCGATGTCGAACAGGCTGAGGCCCACCAGCCGCGGGCAGCCCTCCAGCACCCGCCGCAGGCCTTCGGTCGTGGCCGCCGCGTGGGTCAGCGACAGCTGCTGCAGGCTGCGCGACGCGATCTGGCCCACCTGGCGCAGCCGCAGTTCGTCGCCGATCGACGCCACAAAGTCTAGCGACAGATCGTGCAGCCGGCCCAGGCCCTGAACGGCGCGCTGGAGCGCATCGGCGTCGGCGTCGGCGTCGTCGTCGTCGTGCGGCACGTCGGCCCGCAGGGTCTGCAGCAGCGGCGTCGCGGCCACGAGTCCCGCCAGCGTCAATCCGGGGCCGAGCCGCAGGTGGTCCAGGTGGAGCGCCAGGCGCTTGAGCCGCGGGCACTCGAGCCTCACCAGTTGGGCCGGCTCGCCCTCGTCCGACGCGCGCCAGTCGAGCCGGGCCAGCTTCGGGTGGCGCAAGTCGAGCCGCATCGTCACCGTCAGCGGCGGCTCGAACGTGCACTGGCACCACTGCAGCGTCCGCAGCTTGCGCAGCCCCGCCACCGTATCGCTCCACTTTCGCTCCACCCACCTCTCCACGCTGACGTCATCATCACCATCATCACCATCGGCGTCGTCGTCATTGTTGTGGTCGTTGTCGTGGTCGTGGTCGAGGGTGAAGGTGACGAGCTCGAGCACGAGCTTGTTGAGCCGCGGGAGCTGGGTCAACTGGTCGAGCGCGGCAAAGGCCACCTGCGACGATGAGACCACCAGCTTGGCCAGGCCCGTGAAGGCCGGCGACACGACCGACGGCGGCGGCCGGCAGAGGGGCAGGCGCGGCCCGCAGGCCACGGCGCCGCCGGCGGCGGCGACAAAGTCAAAGTCTACGCCGCTGAGCTCGAGGGCGAGAAGGTGGTCGAGCGCGCCGAGCGCGAGGGCGAGCTCGTGCGCCGGGATGAAGCCGCCCTGGTAGCCGGTGTCGATGGCGAAGCTGGTGAGCGACGGGCACGACGACGCGATGAACGCGGCCAGGTGGTCCACCGACGGCACGTCCGACCGCGTGTCGTTGTACTCCATCCGCAGCTTCTCCAGGCGCCTCAGCTGCGGAAAGCGCAGCGGCCTCTTCTCTTCTTCTTCTTCTTCCTCCTCCTTCTTCTTCTTCGTCTTGCCCTCGGCCTTCTCACCGCGCCGTGGCGTGAGTGTGTCGACATCATTGTCGACGTCATCATCGGCGAGTGCGATGTGCGGCAGGAGCTCGCCGCCGAGGAGGCAGTGGGGCAGCCGCGTGAGCAGCGGGCAGGTGGTCAGGCAGCGGACCAGGGTGTCGATCCACTGGCCCCACCTCCGGTCCTCCTCGTCCTCGTCCTCGTCGTCGTCGTCCACCATCGACCTGAAGATGTAGCTCGGCGGAATGTGGAACTTGACGAACTTCTCGATCCCTCGCCTTTCTATGCAAATTTTACCTCCGATGAGCGTGTGCGTGTGCGGTGGTGCGTGTGCGGTGGTGTGTGCGGTGGTGCGTGTGCGTGTGCGTGTGCGGTACGTAAGGAAGCGCTCGATGCCCTGCGGGGTGATGTTGGTCTCTCGCAGCGAAAGGGAGGTGAGGCTCGGGAGGGCCTGATGGCGCTCATCTTCAGCGGGACCCTCGACCCATGCCAACAAGGGGTCCAGGAGCGCATCCGAGAGCCCAATAAACGATACGTCCAGTGCCTGTCGTGTGCGCGCGTGGGCGTGCGCGCGTGCGTTAGCAACGAAGCTGGCGCTGTAGAGTGGTAGGATCGAACCTCGAGCCCGGACACGCCTGTGCAAGCACTTCGGTGCACTTGTCGTCGAGTCGCCAGCATTTGTGGGCGACCAGCGATCTGTATCACACTCAGTTGATTTATTTATTAATTTATTAAAACAAATGAAATAATAAATAAACAAATAAAGGCTGACGAACCGCAGATGTGTGAAGGGGCGCAGATGCGCCAGGCCTGCGTTGGTGATGCCGCAGAGGCTGAGGTCCAGCTGCTCGAGCGTGCCCACGGCTTGACTCTGCGCCAGCTGTTCGAGAAACGAGTCATCCACCCTGTAGTCCTCAGTGAGCCATCGCCACCATCACGCCCGGCAGCGGTGCACCGCCTTGTGGCGTCAATGGGTGGTGTACCGCGTGGCTGTCGCGTCGAGCGAACGAAGGCTCCCGCACAGTGCTGCGGCTCCGGTCAGTGCGCCGCGGGACAGAAACGGAGTTTCCTGATCACCACAACGTTCATGTCATCAGGTGGTGTGCATGTCGTACGTGTCGTGCGTGTCGTGCGTGTCGTGTCGTGCGTGCGTGCTGCGTGTCGTCGTGGCATGCGTGTCGTGCGTGTGTGTTGCGAAAAGCACGTACTGGAGGGGGAGACGGGTGACGCCGGGGAGTGCGGCGAAGAGGGGCAGCGTGTAGTCGTCCACCAGCTCAGCGCGGAGCATGGCCTGCGCGACCCTGTCGCCCACTGCCGCTACCTCGGCCGACAGCGCCAGTGCCGCCCTTCGCCTGCGGTGGTGCGGCGCCTCGCCAGCGGCCTCCTCCCTGCTCGCACCACACGGGGCGTTGTAGAGCAAATGATAAAAATATGCTAAAAATAAAGAGATTTGTTGCAGGTTGTCGTACGTGGCCATGACGAGGAACCGCTTTACCAAAGCCGCCACACACTGCTCCCAGAGCGGCGGCGCTTCCATCATCTTGCTAGAGCGTTCTTTATTGCTTTTCTTTTGCTTTTCTCGTTGCAGCTTTTCTTTCTTTGTTAAAAAAAGAAATTATGTACAGGCCCAAGAAGAAATGCAAGCGACCCGCCGAAGAAGAACACCATCAGTCGAGGGAAATGAGGGGCACGCCGAGGTTGGCGTAGCTCTGGAAGAGGTTCTGCACGAACATCACTTCGAACGTCGAAAGATAAAACATGATCGCCTGGTCGCCACACCTGCTAGACACACCACACACAACGCACACCATGGTGCAGTTAGTAACGTGCAGAGATGATGATGGGTAGGACAGGGCTGGTCAAGCCTCGTGTACCGAAGGAGGCTGGGCGCGAACACGATGGCGAGGTTGTGTGCGTTCATCATGGTCTTGATGACCTGCTTGGGCTGCGTGATTCGCCGCACGAACTCGCAGATGCACCACACCACGCACTTGTTGATCTGAACCACACGTCAACCACACACGTGTGCGGTGAGTGCGGTGTGTGTGCGTGTGTGCATGTGTGCGCGTGTGGCGTGTGTGGCGTGTATGCGTGGTGTTACCTCGGGGATGCGGTCGATGATGAGCAGGGATTGGTCGGGCCTGTTGGCATTCTTGACACAGTCATTGTAGAATTCCTCGGGGATGATCGGCTCGGGCAGCTGGGACAGCCACGCCTCCATGCACGACGCGATCGCATAGCAATCGAACGCGCACACGTCATAGTCCCTAAGCGTGTGCGTGTGCGTGCGGTGTGTGCGTGTGCGTGTGCGTGCGTCAGTTTCCATCGCACACTATGCAAAATAATAAGTTGAAGCTCTTAAGAAAGCAAATACCTGATTTCGAGCTGGTCCTGGAGCCGTTGCACCTCAACGCTGCTGCCCGACACTCGGAAAAGGCCCTCCATGTTCCCCGCAGCTGTGCGCAGCCACGATCGTGGACCGGTCAATCCGCCACGACCAGTCAGCCACACACTGTTCGGTGTGTTCGAGTAGTGGGGGTCGGCGTACCGCCGCTTCGCTGGAGGAGCGCACGGCAGAGGATGTACATCACGCGAGGCACTGCCAGCGTTGGAATTCCGAGCATCTGAAGCGCACACGACACACACGACACACACGACACAAAGGCACATCGGTCGGTCAAACGAGTGTTGCACACATATACGTGGCGGTGGTGCAGGATGATATTGTTCGTTTAGAGTGTTTACCTTTTCCTCGAGGCGCTGGTTCTCGATGAGCCGGGCCAGCGATTTGCCGAAGAGCGGCTGGCCCATGGCCTGCACCGCCACGCTGTACCGGATCTCGCCCTCCGCCTGCCTGGTATTATGCGTCGCCACCGGCACGACTGCCGCGGTACACCACTCCTCCTTCTGCTCCTCCTTCTCCTTGCCCTTGTCCTCCGCTACACGCACCTCTTCTTCCTCTTCACCTTCATAGAGCTGCTGCTGCTGCTCCACTTCTTTTCCCTTACCGCGCTCCCACTCCTCGAGCTCGTCTTCTTCATCTTCGTCCTCCTCGATCAGCTGCTCCTCCTCGACCTCGTCGTCGTCGCCGTCGACCTCGCGCTCGCCGCTACCCTCGACCGCCTCGTAGTTGTCGTTGTTGTCGCCGTTGTCGCCATCGTGGTCGGTGATGCCGACGGCGGACGAGCCCGTTTGACGACTGTTGGCCAGAAGGGTGTCCATGGGCAGCCGAGCGCTCACGCTCGACGTGGGCGTTTCGTTCTCGTCGTTCTCGGCTGTCGCCCCCGGCTGCGACTGGGGCTGCGGCTGCACGGCGTCTTTGGCCTTCTTCGACCCCCCGTGGGGCCGCTTGCGCCAGAACGAAACGAGCCTGCCACCGCCGCCGGCGCTTGTGGTCTCCTCGGCAGCTGCTTCGTCGGCCGGGACGCTGTGGTCGGGCGTGGTCGAGTCCTTCTTGCGCATCGCGCGCAGAGACACCGACTTGAAGGCCCGACGACGCTGCTGACGTGGCGACACGGCGGTCTCCTCATCTTCGTCGTCGTCGTCTTCATTCTTGTTCTTGGTGTCGACATCGTCTTCGTTCTTCTTCTTGGTGAGGTCCTTCTTCCGCCTCAGCTTTCCGAAGAAGTGGCTGTGCTTCTTCGCGCCGCCGCCGCTGCTGCCGACCTTGCCGGCCGAGACCTCATCGAGTCGCTCGGCTACCACCTCCTGGCTGCTGCTGTCGACATCGTCGTCGGGCTGCTGCTTGTCCTTGTTGCGCTTCTTCTTCTGGAGGCGGAGCTGCCGCTTGAGGTCCTTGACCTCGCGCATCCACACCCGGGCGCGCTTCTTCTCCTCCTTCTTGGCCCGCTTCTCGAGCTTCTTCATCTCGCGCCGCTGCAGCTTGGCCCGCTTCTTCGCCAGCTGCTTCCGGGTCCGCCGCTCCTCGGCCGACTCCCGCCGGCTCGGGCGCGCCTCGGCCTTGGGGTGCCGTTTGACCGGACTGCCGTGGCCGGCCAGCTCGGCCAATGTAGCCCGATTCTGCGGCAGACTGTCGACAGAGTCGTTGCTGTCGACGTCGACGTCGTCGACATTGTGGTCGCGCCAGATCACGTTGCGCCGCTGCAGCGGGGAGGCCACGGGCCGGGTCATCTCTTCGCTCTTGGAGGCGCGCACGCGAGGCACGCTCCCAGACGCGCTCGCGCTCGAGTCCATGCCGTCGCTGTCGTCCGAGTCACGCAGGATGTCCATGATCTCGTCGGTCAAGCAGCGCTTCATGAGCTTCCGCCGCTGGACGGCCTCGCTCGACGCCGTCATCACCTTCTTCATCGTCACGGGGTGGTGGCAGGACCCTCAACGCTCTCGTCGGCGGCGAGTTGATCGGCGACGGCGACTATGGCGTCGACGGCATCGCTCAGCTCTTTCTTCGCCTGCTGCTCCTCCTTCAGCTGCTCTGTGTCGTCGTCGCCCTCATCGTCGGTGTTGGCCGACGCCAGCAGATCGACGCGCCCGCGGCGGTCGAAGGTGGCCACCGACGCCACGCGGTCCATCCGCTCGCGACGGTGGACCGCCGCTCTACGCCGCGAGTCGACCGGTTGTCCCTGGCCGCCGCCGCCGACCACGGCAAAGAGCGACGGCCGCTTGAAGTTGCGCATGGAGACAGCGCGTCGGTCCGGGTCGTCGCCGCCGTGGGAGTAGTGGGTGGCCGCCAGGTGCTCGAGGTACCGCTGTTTGGTCGAGAACCGGCGCGCTCTACTAAACCCGACGCGACCGTCGTGCGCCTCCTTCGTCTCCGCCTCCGCCTTAGCCTGCCTGTTGCGCTGCTGGTGTCGGGGCTTTTTCTTCTGGCGTTGATCGAATTCATGTTGCTGCTGATGATGATGGTGATGGTTGAGCTTCGCGCCGAGTTTCTTCGCCTTGTGGCGCTCCTCTTCGGGGTCGTAGTGGAAGCGGGAGTGGTCCAGGATGTGTCCCGACGCGCCGTGGCTGTGGTTGTAGCGCGATGTGGCGTGACCCGTGCCGACGTAGGCGAACGGCTTCTTGTTGTGCCCAGCGCCAGCGCCAGCGCCAGAGGCGGTGTTGGTGTTGTCGATGCTATTGCGGATGAAGCCGAGGAGGTTGCCCTCGAGCTGCTCCCTGGCCATGCGCGTGAGTACCTCGACGACGAGGCTCAGCCGGCGGTCGCCGCGCCGCTCCTCGGCTTCCATGTCATTGATGATGGCCCGTGAGCGCTGTGGCGGCCCGCCGCCGCAGTAGCTGCGGCGCCGCATGTCGTCCTCGATGTTGTCGTTGACCTGCAGGAGTAGCTTGAGGGCTCGGCGGGCCTTGGCCTCCTTGGTCAGGTGCTCCTCCTCGCGGTCGCGCCACATGCGCACCACCTCGAACAGGTCGGCCCGCTCGCGCTCGAGCTGCTCGCGCTCCCGGGCAACCTGCATCCACTCTGAGCGTTCGTCGTCCTCCCGCTCGTGGTCGTCGCCGTCGTCGCCCTCGCCCAGGGCAAACTCGGCGTAGTCATGGCCCTCGTCTGGGTGGTGGCGGACCAGCCACACGCGGTTGTCGCTGCTGGCGGGGCGCTGGTGGGCGTGCAGTCCGGGCGCCCGGGCCGCACTGGTCGATCGGCGGACGTAGTGGGCAGACGTGGCCGGCAAGCCATCACCGATATCGATGCGGAAGGCCTGCGGCTGCGGGTGGCTGAGACGCGCGCGCGAGTCGGCCTCGCCCTTGTGCTCCCGCTCCCAGTCCAGGGCCTCCTGCGGCGGTCCGCCATGGTCGCCGTCGATGTCAAGATCAGGGAACGACGGCAGAAACACTGCATTCTCCTCGGGTTGCCGCTGTTGTTCTTGGTCGGCGTCTGCGGCGGCGCTCTGAGTGCGCAGATAGGCAAGGAGGGCGACGGACGGGCACGAGGTGCTGCGGCGGAACTGCTTGGCATTGCGTCGACGGGTCGAGCGCTTCCAGCCGCCGTCCTGCTGGCGCGCCGCGGCCTCGGCAGCTTCGAGGATCGCTGCTGTGGTAGCTGCGGCCGATGATGCCGTCAATGAGCTCCTCTCGGCCGCCGATGTAGTACTCATGAGCTCGAACCACACGCGACCAGTTGGATGGATCGTGGAGAGCGATGGGTGGTTTGTGGTGCCTTGTCTTGAAAGGAGGCCTGAAAGCAAATTGTAATCGATGGCGCGCTCGGCTCGAGGACTAAGACGACGTTGGCCTGCAGGATGACAAAAGAGACACCATCATGCAGTGCTCTTGGTTTTGAGGGCTTCAGAAGCAAACAGGTTCGTGATCCGAAGCAGGAAGCCGAGGCCGTACCTCAAGGCCTTCGCTGTTGTGGAGGCCCAGTAGAACTAACAGGAAGCAGGGATCGCCTGAAGCTGGGACCCTGACCGGGCAGGTGGCAATCGGAACTAGCGGTCCTTGAAGCGGGCTGTGCATGGTGTCACAGCTTCGTTCGGCGAGGCATGGAATCCACGCGCACTCTCGCCAGGACTGCTTATGCAAGGGATCGAATCCAGTCCTGGCGATTAGGGCGTTCTCTTAGGCTAAACTGTGTTCAGCATCTTCAATTAGAGGAAGGATGCCAAGTCAATTTCATATCGCAAAATCACAAGCCGATTGATCTTTACCTTGGTGCCGGCACTTGCGTATTGCCAAAGAGTGATCCTCGCACACGGTCCTGAACCGCCCAGCTGGGTTGGTGGTCTACTTTTCTTGTCGGCGCTACGGCAATGCTGGCGCGATTATGTTCGGCGCTTGTTGAACTACTTGACGGCCGAAGTGTTACACCGGATGAAGAGGTTCCTCGCTGTCGCTTGTACTCTGCTCCTCGCCCTTGTGGTATGTTAACGCCCGTGTCAACTCGTTCGGCAGCTTCCAATTAACTTCCTTCATTTACCATTTCATCCCCATTTCATCTTTCATTTACCATTTTATCTTCCTCGCCCAGGTTGTCAATGGGCAACAGCTGCCCATCCCCAAGACCGCACCGGGCATGCACCGGGGCAACCCGTCGGCACCCATCCACATCACTGAGTTCGCTGACTACCAGTGCCCCTACTGCGCTGGTGCTTCTTGCCTTAATCTTCTCCGTAACTCCAAGGCTGAGACTGACGTACAACCCGTGGTGCTTTTAGACTCGTACCCTATCGTGGAGCAGGTGCTGAAGCTTTACGGTCCGGACAAGATCTACTACACGCTCCACATCTTCCCGCTTTGGCTCCATCGCCAGGCCTTCATAGTCGCTGAGGCCGCTGGCGTGGTCGCCCTCAATGCCCCTGACCGTGCGGTTCCTACTCTTCCTACGTCTTCTCAACGTGCACTCACCTCCTTCTTGTGTCATCATGCAGGCTACTGGGAAGCTGCCAGCTTCCTCTTCGCCAACCAGGCCCAGTTCTACAACAGCGCCTTCCAGAACAAGACCGCTGCTGATTTGTACGCACCTCCACACACACACACACAGGATGGCCTATCCTCCTCATGGCTCACCAAGCCGCACACACGCTTGCTTGAAGGTACTCCCTGCTGGCCGGCTGGATGCCCAAGTTCGGCATCAGCCCTTCGACCTTCTACGCGCAAGTTGACAGGTACCCTTGTTCGCTCCATAAGCGCAGCTGGTGCTGAAGCTCACCTGCTTTCTTACGGGTGTGGTGCAGTGACGCCGTGTACGCGCGTGTGGATGCCGATATCCACACGGCGATCATTCGTCAGGTCTATGAGACGCCCACCTTCCTCGTCAATGGCTTCAAGGCTCTGCAGATCCCCGACAATGCCACGGTCGCCCAGTGGACCACCTTCATCGACTCCCTCCTGGCCCAGCAGTTCTGAGTGGAAAGGAAACAAAGAAAACAATAAAAAGAAATCGTGAAAAAGAAAAAGATTGGCGCATGGCGCAAATCGAAGATGTCGCTCAATGTGGTGAAGAAGGGTGTCCTCGGAAAGGACAAGTTCTTCTATCAGGCCATCGAGCTCCTGCTGCAGCCAGAAGATAGGGATGCGGGCGATGAGAGCGAGGCCAAGCTACGCGAGATGCTCAAGGAGAATCTTCAAGCGCAGCACAAGCACAAGGCATCTGCCGGCCCAGGTCGGCCAGCTACTGCTGCCGCTTCACGTCCAGGTACTTACCCTTCACACAAAATCCTTGTCCCCCCCCCCGCGTTTGTCGCATCGCGCAAGCAAATGCTGAGATGCTGGCATATACAATCAGGCCAGGAGAAGCCATCGTTCATGCGTTCGTTTTCGCGAGAGGAACGCGGGCAGGCAAAGCAGTCTCATCTGCTGCAGGCTAAGCTCAAGCCACAGGCGACTCTGTGGACGCCCTCTACCAGCCTTGCCTCACCCTCCTGGATGAAAACTGTCAAGCGAGGTTCGTTCAAGCCCGTAAGCTATCTCGTACTGCAGCCCCTCCTTTAACTGGCTCGCTTCACTTCACTACGCAGAGGGCGGCGGGCTTGTGAAGCACGAAGCAGAGCAAATTGAAGAGGAGGTGGTCGAGAGTCGGGACAGCCCTGAAGAAGACGATAGGGTGCGTACAAGAGCGTCTCTGCAATCGCTTTCCTGCCGCTCTACGCACGTCGTGTACTGATTCTCTCTCTCTCTCTCTCTCACTACACAGGCGAAGCGAAAGTATGCGGACTATCAGCAGCAGCAGCAGCAACAAGCACAGTATGGAGCCGAGGAAGGGCAGGCGGCGGGTAACTCGTTCCCGCCGGGCAGTCCTGCATTCTCATCGCCGGGCAACGACCCCGCTGGCTCGTCTCCTCCGAGCTCGCCGCCCACCGCGTCGATGCCGCCCAACAAGAAGGCGATGGTACATTACTCACTCTTCGCACCAGGCTCAAGTCGTCCACTTACGTTAACGTGTGTGTTGCTGCTCATCAGCTGGGCAAGAGCGCGGAGGGTATGGTGCACGCCCTGCACAACCGAGACCTGAAGATCAAAAAGAAGCTCAAGGAGGTCAAGAAGGCCAGGGAGGCCCGCAGCGTCCGGCCCACCTTCAACAAGTGAAGCCGCCGCAGCGGAGGAGGAGGACACCACTCATCCCTATACTACCGACCCCATCGCGCTTCTCCGCATGTGTACATATTGGGCAAGGTATCACCCATCGATCACCAATGAAGCTCTTCACCTCCCGCTCGCGTTAGGTCTCGTTTTGGCGCGAAAACTTTTGGCGCGAACGTCGCGGCCAGGGG